GTGGCGATGGTGGTGGGGAGCATGGTGGCAGGCGGGCAAGTGTGGTGCTGGAGTAGTAACTGAGATCTTACATCTGATCCACAAACAGGGGCAGAGAGAACTGACTGGGGATTGTGTGGTCTCTTTTTGGAACCCTCAAATCCCATCTCCAGCGACATGCCTCCAACAAGGCCACACCTCAAACGGTTCTGCCAACTGGGGAACCAAGTATTCGACCATATCAGCCTATGGGGACATTTTCATTTAAACCGCTATAGCTACGTTGAGAGATGCAGTTGTTATTCATTACTGGAGTCTCAGGGCAAAGAATTGCAGGCTTTGGAGTTATTAAGTGTAACTTTCTGAAAATGTCTTCCTCTGAGAAAGGATCTAGAACAGTGTGCATTGAGAGACTCCCGAGACTTGATGAATTGAGCCAAGTTCAGGCTTTTAGAACCAGTCTTTGGGGTCAATTCATGACATAAAGTCAGGTATCCAAGTCTGAGGAGTTACTCATTAGCACAGTTCAGTCATGTGGACTCAGAAATCCTGAAAACAGCACTGTGTTAGTCGAGGCAGAGCAGACCCTCAGTGCACCTTTGCAAGTTTGTGCAGACCTTCTGCTCGTAGAGTTGGCATCTACAGAGTTCGGCTTTCAGTGGAACTGTACATCTCCCTTTCAAAGGGCTTATGGCTCACTAAGATTCTGAAAACCTCTTAGCCCTGGATTTTAAGGTGTGAAGACTGCAGATTGTACCAGATACCACAAAGCCTTGTTGCCCCAGATGTTGTTACCTAGATTCAGGGATGATCTTTACAGTGGCGAAGCCCATCAGTTAGAGAGCATGTGATCCCTGACACATGTGTAAGGTGTTATCTCCTCTAGTGCCCAAAATGTTACAATATGATTAAAACTTGGAAACATTTTCAGAAGATTTCAAAGTCTGTGTGGAACTATAACAGAAAAAACATTGAAGAATTATTCTCCAGTTCTTGATTCATTTAACTCTTGAATGTGCTCATACTCTGGTCTTCTCCTTATATCATTGTGTTTAAATACCTAGAAAAGGTTAGAAACTTTTCCTTTCTGCATTTTCTCTCTGCTCCCCTGTCTTTGTTTGCAGTTGGTCTCAAAGATCTTTCCATGACTGTAAATACTGAACCTCATTCATTTTTGTAGTTGTGTGTACTGTCACATGGGTTTGAGTTACCCCTTTCCAAAATGCTACATAGTGTTTCATTTAGGCAGTTTTGGCTTTGGGTGTACTTTCATATAAATAATGAAATATCTTGGGGTTATACTTAAGGTTGGGTACAAAATCTGTTTTTTTTTAATATTCAAAAATTACCTATATTCTGAAAGGAATTTTTGCACAGTATTTTTAGTGTGCCTGTGCTTTGATTCTGACTTAGTACATGAGGGCATGTGTGGAATTCTGTACTGTGCAGATCTGTGAGGACTGAAAGATTTGGCCTGAGAATACTTGGGGTTTTGGGCTATCAGACCTGGATGCTCAGACTGCGTCTTTCTTGACATCTCTGTTACATGACAGTAGAGTTTGTTTGCATTATTGGTTATTATGAATGACTGCACTATGTATCATATCTTCACTCATCTTTGTGTGAAGATTTACGTAAGTATTTTGATCCAGTAGATTTCTGGGTAGAGTGTAATTGCTTGTCCAAGGGTCAGGCTTTCTAAATGTTGTTGAATATTATCAGATATTGTGGAGAATTTTTCTCGTTTATGCTTGAACTAGTTGGTACTCTTATCCAGAGGTAGTTGAAACCACCTTTTTTCTTTACATGCTTATTGACTTGGCACACACACACACACACACACACACACACACACACACACACCCACACACACCCCTACCTACCTCAGGGCCATGAAGTTGGGAAAGATATATGTTGCCAAGTGGCTGAGAGGAATTGGTGGGAGGGAGTTGGAGGTGTGGAATCAAGATACATGTTTGAAATTTTCAAGGAAAAATGTTTTAAAACTAAAAGTACTGTAAGCATTCATTTTATTAGCTCCACTTTTATCATTACTTTCAGCTTGTATTTTTGTATTTCAGTTTATATGTTCTTATTTGTAAACATTCAGGCTCTTTGATGTTATTGCCCATGCCATAATTCTATAATGTAATTGGCAAAGAGTCAGTATTAGCATTTAATGTTTCAGTGGACCCTGTGGAGGCTTGCTTCTTTGAAGTCACTTTATCCTTTAAAAATACTTGGAGGTTGTACTAAGCAACTTTTGGTCATAGTAGGAGAGAGGCTGAGAAGCCTGACTTCAATCCTGTAGTGTGCACTTGGAGTCTCTTATTGCCTCCCTTGAGTAATGTTTGTCTATTTTGAGCAATTGGCAAGTCCTAAAATGTCACTGTGATCCACAAGTTCTGAGATGTTTGTAATAGATAAAATGTCTGTTTTGTAGTGACAGAAAGTCCATTTCTGTCACTATGGAGTATGATTTCAGGATTCTATTGTGTCTGGTAGTGATGAAAGTTGAGAAAGTGGGTCAATCATAAACTAAGAGATAGATTCCTCAGGATTTATACTGTAGTGTTAATGAGGGTAGAAGTGGTTTCATATCCTTGTGAAAGCCTTCTGAGTTTGTAGCAGTCAGCATGACATTAAACTGCCTGCCAGAGTGTCACTCATGCAGCTCTGTTGTCATGTTGGTGACAGCAGTGAACTCTATAGGATTCATGTCACATCAAACTGAATGCACATTGACTTGCAACAGAAAATGATTGATCTGTTTTGTAGCAGATAATGTGGACTTGTACTAAACTGAGCCAAGTAGCAAGCTACCTAGCCATTTTGCTTCTGTGACTCACTGTGCCCCTTCACTTTCTGTGGGAGGTCAGGACACTTATTTCAGTTCTTGATGAAATGCATAAATTATATATTTGGTTTCCCCAAGCTTATCATGTTAGTAAAACTACATAAAAGTAACGCATGCTGTTAGTATTTCCCACATTGATCTTTTGGGATAAAAGATAGAATGCAGATTTCCATTATGATGACAGGATGTAGGAAAGATGGCTGGGGAAAAGCATCCAGGGGCACTCTGGGACAGGAACACTTATGTGAGGGTGTTGGGAGGAGCACTTGGAGAGCA